CTTTGGTCCGTACATTTACTGTAAATAGAGAGTGGAGTAACCCTCATTTGTACATAAGTTAGAGTGTGTGGTGGTCTAACGGTAATTGATGCTAATGCAGCGATAAAGTCTTAAAAATTAGTGCCTTTGCGCATAAAGGTTGGAAAACACTGCATTCGATTGATCATACAACATTTTGTGGCTGGAAATTTGACGGTTTTGCCTCCACGTTGGAGGTTTTCGTTTGAGACAAAAAGCGACGGCGGTCGTGAAGAAGAAAAGACCTGGCCCGGTTGTTAGCGCAGTAAACTGAAGTGTCCGACGAGTACCGGCCTGAATAGGTTCCGCTCCACTAATTAGAAGCACAAAAGTAATTTAACATTGCTTTGAAGGCTGCTCTTTCCAAATTACAAAGCAGTGTGTCAAGGGCGAGACACTTGAAATTGAAAATGCAATTATGAACGTTTGGGAAAGGAAAGAAAGGGGATCGTAAATGACATACTGAATATATGGTCTTAATGCCGTACCTTTGGCCGGCGCTCACGCATGCACAATGAGAGAGCGAAAGATGCCTGCAAATCGTTCCTGGAAAAGTAATTAGACATCGGTTTTCTATGCCGGGGGAGCAATGAAGATATTGTAATTATAGATCATAGAAAAATGTCGCCTTCCGCGAACTGAAGCTATTATCAAGTCCAGAGTTTGACGAAACCAAAAGGGCAATTTGTAAAAAGGATATTGGCCTCTTTTGAGTGGTGTAAAAAGGAGAATCCCACTTGCCCGGCGCTCATCTCTCGCTTGCCGTCGAGGCACAGATTAAGTCCCTCAGTGGTGTCGTGATGGGGAGGACAAAGTGCCTACTTTGGTGCCAATGACTTATTTGAAATTCAAACAAGCCTTTGCAGTCGCCGAAGCGTTCGGCAAGGGCGAGGGAGAAAAGGAGTCTCTCGCATCTGTCTGAGTGTCTTTGATGAACGTCAGCCGCGACATTAAAAACAACGGCGACGGCGAAAGGCGTCCGTGGCAACATCTGCCTTGACGAAAGCAACATGTGGCGGGGCGGCTGACTTTCATGGGGCAAGCGGCAATCTTTGCGCGGCGGTGTCGCGTCGTCGACGGAGGACCAAACCTCGCTTCTTTGATTTCAAGGTCACTTAGTTTGATTTGTCCTCACTGTTGCATCTAATCTTTCTTTTTTTTTTTTCCTTGTGATTTTCTCCTGATTATCTTATCTCTTAGAAAAACGAACAGATAAAGGTTTTTGAATTGTTTGTTCGCAGGATTATGAAAAAAAAAAAACGATGCTTTTTTTTTTTTGTCATGGGATTTTAAAAGGACAAAATCCAATCTTTTGTCGGAGGTGAAAGCAAAGACCGGTGCTCATTTTCACCACGTGCTGACTTGAACTTACATTTTCACACTCATCATGGAATACTTTTTTTTTTTAAATTGCCTCATGTGCGTCACTGACTAGTCAGTAGTCGTTATTTGCAAAAAAAAAAAAAAAAAAACAGGCATCACACTCACTGCTTGACTGAATATGTGGACTTTCAAAAGCAGCTAATTTAAGAAAGTTTTTGTGCGTTTGGTGAAAAGTTCGACTGCTTGTCAAGAATGGAAAATGATAAAGACAAATCTGTTTTTCTTGACGAAAGAAGAGAGTTAAGTTTTCTTTTAGGTTGCCCGGTTCTTACATATATTGTCACAAAAAAAGGATCACTTGGAAGATCAGTTTATGTTCCCTTTTTTTTTTTTTGTCATGGGATTTTAAAAGGACAAAATCCAATCTTTTGTCGGAGGTGAAAGCAAAGACCGGTGCTCATTTTCACCACGTGCTGACTTGAACTTACATTTTCACACTCATCATGGAATACTTTTTTTTTTTAAATTGCCTCATGTGCGTCACTGACTAGTCAGTAGTCGTTATTTGCAAAAAAAAAAAAAAAAAAAACAGGCATCACACTCACTGCTTGACTGAATATGTGGACTTTCAAAAGCAGCTAATTTAAGAAAGTTTTTGTGCGTTTGGTGAAAAGTTCGACTGCTTGTCAAGAATGGAAAATGATAAAGACAAATCTGTTTTTCTTGACGAAAGAAGAGAGTTAAGTTTTCTTTTAGGTTGCCCGGTTCTTACATATATTGTCACAAAAAAAGGATCACTTGGAAGATCAGTTTATGTTCCCTAAAACGGCTGGAAACTGCTTTGAAAATAGCTCGCGGTGAATGACTTCAGGAATTTGAAGGTTCAACTAGATGCCGGCAAAGTCTTGAGCTGTTTTTCCCTCCAAATGAAAATGCCAAAACATTTTTGAAACTTTTTTTTGCTTCACCGTGTAATCCAGTTACTGCTCATTTGTTTGTGAAATGCTTTGCGCCTTGTGATGGAAAGTTGCCGCCTGTCGATGGTTCACTCTTGTGTCTGAACCACTCCCAATTGTTACAAATGGGTCCAAAATTTGGCAACACCGCCTTCCTAAAAACAACAACAACAAAATCCCCCAATTACCACATCACTTACTCCATGCTTTGATGTAGTTTATGCCAAATTCTTATCCAAGCATCCCAGCGCAAATTGAGGCTGCCAGACTAGAAAATGTGTTTTGAAACTTCAATTGTCCAATTTTGGTGCGCCCATGTGAATAGGAGCCACAATTTCCTGTCCTTGGCTGACAGGAAAGACACTAAGCATGGATTTCTGTGGATGCAACTTCAGTTTAGTTTCAGTGCCAGCCATTTTCAGACCCTTCTTTACCCTACCACATGAAAAACATAAAATAAAATAAAAACACAAAACATACCTGAGATTAAATGCCTGGATTAAAAAGGAAAAAAAAAACATGAACAAACATCTTTGGCATTGAATGAGTTAAATCTCACCGCATTAGTAGGCCGTAATAATTTGCTGGGAGCCAAATGTAGCAGGTTTGGGCCTGAACATTCCAGATTGTTAAATTTGCTTAATGTTTGGACATCGAGTGATGGCTGCACAAATATGGATTTACAATTCTGCCGGTAATTCCGTCTAAAAACAGTTTGGAGTGCATCTATATGAAAAATATGATTAGATATCGTTGTGATGAGAAATCCTCACACGTCAACAATTATACGATATCAATTTGCTGAAAGAGTGCCCCGTTCATAATGCCCCCCGCCCCTCCCCTCCCCCCAAAAAAATCTACAACGAAGTAAAGTGTATACAAAAAGACACACCGGGGTTGTGTATTTGAATAAAACTGTGCCCTGCTCCTAATCCTCATCTTCCTCCCAGCAGGCAGAAGCAACATTAATCTGCAAGCGACTGTGCTCACAGCCGTTTGCAGCTCAGACATCTTCTTCGACTGCCGGTGGCACTTTGGAAACACTCAGCATCTCAGCGCGCCCATCAGCATGTGCGTGTGAAATGCCACGTCGAGCAAGACAAACCACCGCCCGGCACACACAAACACACACACCAGGCAAAACCCCCTGGAAAAAAAAAAAAACCCAAAAACCTGCAGTGCAATTCCGAGGTCTCAGTAGTAGCTCTGCTGATAATAGGAGAGTCTTCGGGTGCTTTTTCATTTCCAATCTGGCACCGCTCTGCATCGGAAATGCCACGGAATACACCCCCGAGCTCAACCCCCCCCCC